CTTAGACCACCTGTTCATCTAGCTGGGAGGAGAACGCACTCTTTTTTTTCCCCATAATTTTACTGATAAACAAATAGCAATGAGACAGTTTCAAATCAAATTGGTTGGACAGTTTCAATAATTAACACATTGCATACATTCTTCCTAGTGGTTAATTGCTGTACAAGATGCGGACATGATATCCTATTTACAAACACCATTAAAACAAATCCCTCTATTCATGAAGAGAATGTAACTATATATCTATCCTAACCATTTTGAATACACAGATACAAAATGGACATTCATCTGTATCCCCTTTTTTTTGTTAAGTTCCGTTATTTGAATATTATCGGTGTGTAAACTCAGCAAAATATTCTAAAAGAGTCCAGAGAACTCACTCTTAAAGACTCAAGTTCATGGTATGTGGGTTGCTCTGGGATCTTGCTGCTCCTAAACACCTGCGCTTTCGGGGCTCATTTCTGAAGCAGGCTGGTAGCCAGCAGCATCACAGGAGCCTAGGGAGGGCAGCAAGCAGGCTACCCCTCCAAGGACTTTCCTTGTTGAAGCAGAATGCCTCTGAATCTTTGAGGCCTGTTGTCAAAGTATAATCTTAAATCCATTCTGACTATGTTATGGAGAAGAATTAGCTTCTTTCTCCAAACCAGGCAGCATCTGGAAGAAGAGATGTACTGCCTCGGCCAGGCCGGAGGGGGTGCGTGGATGGTTTCCTTGCCCTCTGTCTACTAACGCTGGGCTGCCAGTGGATTCAGCACCTCAGATTTTTACTGTGGAGCCTTCGACCTAATCTCCTGTCCAGGCTGGCACCATCTATACCATGAAGATTTTCCAGTAAAAGTGTACAGCAGGGCACGAGTTCATATGCACAGGAAACGTGATCCTGAGAGCGAAGGAGTTTAGTAGACAGTGCATGCCATGAAGTAAAACAGGATCCTCTCCTGGTCAGATGGTCTACAGGGTGTGGGTGCTCCAGGTGTACGGGGGCCAGTGTCCCAAGCTCACTGACCTCAGGACCCTCTCCCCTTTTAAAGGAATAGTAGCAAACACCGCGAAAGCCTATGACCCACTGTACTGGGATCATCAAATGTAAAAATCTGTGGGAAGAAAACTCAAGGTATTTTTTCCAGTCTGTCTATATAGATCAAAAGAATACACCTGCTCAGATACTGAAGTGCTGGGTGAGACATACAGGGAGATAAAAAGCGCCTACCATCAGGAGCTCAAAGCTCAGTGGTGGAGGGGCAAAGCCTTTAGGATATAGGCAGTGAAGAATAACAAGCAAGTAGGCCAGGACAGCAATCAGAATAGAAGCCCCGAGCAGTGCCAGGAGGGCTCAGAACAGGGAGAGAACAATCTGTTGAAAGGATGAGGAAAGCCTCTGAAAGCGAGTCAACTGAAGCAGACCCTGGTAGATGGCTGGTGTCAGAAGACAAACATGGACAGAAGTAAGACTCAGCAGGCCTCCAGGGGTAAGGAGGGGAATACGAGCAGAGGGGCCCTCCAGGCCCAGGAAACAGCCAGAACAGAAAGGAGAGTGACAGGATGGCCAGGAGATAGCAAATGGTCCAGTTCAGCTGGAACAGGGCTCAAGTATGGCTAAAAGGTCGTGAACTGGGCCAGGGATTTAGCTCAGTGGTGCAGCACCTGCCTGCTACCAACTTCAATTCTTGGTAGCAAAACAAACAAACAAACACAGCAACACTGGTCCTGGCCCAGCTCCACCTGTAGCTGGGAAACAGCCATATTAGTGCTTAGACAAAAGCGCGATGGTTCCTTCCTCAGGTGGGTGTTGGATTTAACCTGAAACGATCCTTTGTTGAATACACAGAAAACTTGTGATGCTCACAATGTAGTACGGGCTGCCTACCCTCTTCAGGGTAGAGCTGGACTAGCAGTATCACGAGTACAGTTGGAGCTTCGTACATAACCAGCCCAAGCTGCCTCAGAAAGCTTTAGCAAAATCCTAGTGGTAAGAGGATAACATGGTTGGCAGCTGGGGCTCCACAAACAAGGAGACACTGTTGGCGGTCATATTGGAGACTCAACTGAGAGCACATTTTGAATTGTTGATGTTGTGAGGCAGGGCAGGAACCGCTGACCAGGAGCAGGAGCTGGTGCAACTGTGAAAGTAACCACTCAAAGTCTATGCGCACCAAAATGGGGCACAGGGGAGATGGCTTGAGGTGCAGCGTGAAGGAGATGTTACCAAGTTGGTTCAAAATAAACCTTCGTTTGCTCTGGTTTTGGCACAGAGCCAACTTGGATACGCAAGCACAGAAGCGCAGCTTCTGAGAGAAGCACAGCGTCGGCATGCTTGACGGTCATCACGGGTCCTTTCCCCCTCTGCACAGCACAGGGCAGTGGCCTTTTCTTTCCTGGATGATGCCTGGACTTCTCAACAAGGTTCCATGACAGAATGAAGCTGCATGGCTCCAGCGTGTGACGATTTACTTCTCTCACATCTAGAATGTTCCATCCTTTATAAAACTGAGAAAGCCGTCCTTGAGCTCTGTTACGGAGAGCCTAATTCATTCTCTGGCAGAACTCAAACTGAGGTCCTGCCACCTTCTTAGCACGCCATCCTCCTCCTCAACGTGGCTTCCCACATACTCCTCCCTGGTCCACACTCACAGGGAACAAGCAGGAAACGTGAAGAGACCTTGGCAGCCACTTTGACTTAGCAACCAGATCAGGGTCAGCGGTTTTCATCAGGAAATATTTTCAAAAGTTTAGGAGAGCATGTCTTACTCAGCACAGTGCTATTTCTTTACATGTTTGAAAATTAATCAATACTTTTGGTCCAAAGCCTCAACCCAGGCCCAAAGAGAAATAGCAGTTTCACATCTAGACTTGGGGGGAAATCTATTGCTTGAAAAGTTAAGTCTGAATGAGCAAAACCAGGCAACCTGGACCAGCCCATCTATCTTAGTATCTGAAACTTCTGTCCAGGGGGCAAAGATACACGGTTAGATTTTTAACCAAAATGCCCCATAATTCCATCATGTCCTGTGGTGAGAAAAAGCAACAGAACTAATAAAAAAGGGAGAATGACACTTCAATCACTCGCGCCTCCTTTTCCTGAAACACTGTCACTTAGGAGGAGGTCAGGGCTCCCGCCATACTTCACTCACATTAGAAGCGCCTCTGCTTATCTGAATAAGTTCCAGGTGCCCCTACTGCAAGCGGACAATCGACAGCTCAGGGTAATCAATATCAGACTTCAAAGAGGTCGGGGCCTATAAATGAAGATGAGTCAGAAGTCAGGGAGCTCGGTCTCAGGAGGGAGAGAGACCCGAGGCGGTGACAGGGTCCTGGAGAGCAGAGGGGTCAGAGCGGTGACCTTCCCACATTCCATGAGGAGCTGGGTTGGCAATGCTAGCTTAGTTATGTGAGCGACCTTATCTTGGGAACCAAACATCTTAGGAAGAGCCAGTCCCACGCCATTGAGGTAGATTAGATCAGGGGAAAGCCAGCTGAAACCTCTCCTCTCACTACTTCCCAGAGGCTCACTGGGGGCTGTGCGCGTTCTTGCTGGCTGCGAGCCGCTGTGTAAACACAGGGCGAGTTCCCAAGCTGTGTAGCCTGGCGGGTGGCACTGCCATCTCTCTGCATCTGCTAAAAGTCATTATACTAGTGCCATTATCTTAGGAGATGGCTGAGAAAATCACTTTTCACAAGCTGCAAATGGCTGCAGGCAGCCTATAGGGCAGAGCGATAACCTGGGGGGATGTAGGTGGGGCTGCGAGAAGCCGAGGGACTTGTCTCCTTCAGGCCATCCATCTTCCGAGCCCCTCCCCCAGTCGCCAGCTGTTTCTTGAAGCTGCTGGGCCAAAGAAGAGCACGATGGCTAAGACAGTCCTCTGGGCAGACGTTAAAAGGCAAATTTAATAAACTAAATGAAAATCATAGGGACCAAACTATACACTTGGGTGGAGTATAGGACATGAAGACCTGAAGGGCAAAGTTATACTTCATTCAATCACCTGATCCTCAACTCAACAGCAAAGTTTGGAAACTTAATGAGGAGCGTTACCTCTTATTTAATACCCACAATGAACTCCGCCCTCCAGTATTCTGCAGGGACCAACGAGCAGCCTTTCTAGAAGATGCCCAGTCACACTGCTACTCGCCTGCCCCTCCCCGTCTCCTTGCTGGTCAGAAGAGCCTCAGGCAGTCAGTCTTCACTCTGTTCTGTAGTTCTCAGCCCCTGCTGCATACTTGGGTACTCTGGGAGCATCTGACAGTTCAGACGTCCACGCGGCTTCCTGGTCAGGCACGCAGAGTGTGGGCATCTGCAAGTCTAAACTGCCTTTATGATTCCAAGGTGCAGCCAAGCTGAGCCCACTGACTGGGGGGCAGCTTTGCCCTGGACAGCTCTGACTGTCCATGTGCAGCATTTCATGGCTGCTCAAAAGTTTAGTTTGCGTGAGGCCACCTCTGGAAGAAGGCACGATCCTCAACTCTTACACAGAGTCTAGTGCGGTCATTAACAACACAAGCTTCTAGGCACTAGCATCAAGAATCTGACCACCTTTAGTGCCGTGGCAAAGTGAATTCTATGCACTGACAGGCTACAATTTCTGTGCTGGTCCAAAACTGCCACCAGATGCTACTTCTCAATTTAATGATGAATAATGGATCATTGAGATGCTTTTAAAAATACATTTTTAAAATGCTAAAGGGAGAAACATAAAAGGAGGAACACCAATTGTCTACTTCTATAAATATAAGTTTATTAAATTGCACTTTAATCTTTTCAGAGTTTTGACAGCTACTTTTATGGAAAGGGTTGTTATAGAGAAGAAAATACAGAATAGCGTAGGTGTGCAGATTAAGGAGCACCAACGTGGCAGGCTGGGTGCGCATGGACTCCGGAGCCTACACCACTCTGCTCAGATGAGAAGACCTAAGGAAACCTAGGATAGCCGCCGGGAGGGAACAGGAGGTAGTGAGATAGCGAAGTGGCCGTCAAACAAAGGAGCGACCCTAAGAATCTGCACGAGGAAAGGGACACACACACTTGGAGAAGACAGAACGGACATCGTAAGAGGAAGCTGAAGGGAAGCAGACCTCAGCAGCGTAAGTTAGGAATGGCTCATCGATGAAGCGGGCCTGGTGGTAGATGGGTGAGGTGAGGTCCCCAAGGCTGCAAGTGTTGAAGGTGAGTCTAGGGTACCTCCACCAGGTACCCGGAAGGGTTTCGGTCAGGGTCCCTTTCTGTCTTAAGTCTGTGTTTATCAGCGTAAAGGAAGGCAAGAAATACGAAATAGCACCTGAGTTTTACGTTGACTCTTCCTGCAGAGACCACTACTGTTTATTCATTTAACAAACATTTATTAAAAACCTACTATGTGCAAGGCACTGTGCAAAGCTTTGGGGATACAGAGACAAGAGAGACACAGTCCTGCCCTCAGGGAGCTTACATTCTAAAGGGGGATAATTTCCAACAATTATGTAGAAGAATAAACTTGTTAATACTGGCATTCGTAAAATACCATAGAATCATGGCCGAGGGACACCTCACTCAGCTTCAGAGAAACTTAAAGAAAGCTGAGTATGGAAGAAAAAGGGGCAGTAGTAGAGTGCGCAGTGGGGTGGTAATGGTAAAGGGCGTTCCGTGGAGAGCGAGGGCGTGTGCAAAGGCCCAGAGACGTGCGAGAATCCGTGCTGCTAAGCAGTGACTGGGCAAGAGCTGGGGCAAGAGGCAGCACGAGAGGCAGGCCAGGGACAGAGACAGAAGGCCTGCATGTCATGCTAGAGGATGGAGACTTCATTCTGAAGCTGCTGGGAAACCACTGGAAAAATTCAAGTAGGAAAGTACTTAGGTCTGCAACTTAGAAAGATCTTTTGTCTGTTAGTATTAAAGCAAGAGTGGCAGAGAAGAGGCCTATAAAAAGGAGCCCACTTACAACGAGTAGAGGAGCGCAGGTCAGAGATCGTGAAGCTGTGAGGACCGAAAGGAGAGAAAGAGGTCACTCACATTCATGCCTCCTAACTGCCTCGGAGGTCGGGACCACAGAATGCGAGGGCTGGGCCAGAGGGCTGGCAGGGAGCAGGACAGAGACAAGCAGGTGCCGGGCCACCGGTGGCAGGGCCACTGGCCAGCTCAGGAATACAGGGGAGGAGCAGGTGGATGTGGGGAGTAAGGGCGGTCAGGTCAGTTTTGGAAATGCTGAGATGGAGGTGCCGGCAGGATTTCCAGCTCAGCCTCAACGCACATGAAAAGCCTCCTGCAATCCCAGTCTCTGAGCTCTGCCGGGCAGAAAGCGTCAGTCATCTGGAAAGGGAAGTCAGAAATTACCCTTTCTTGATCCCCCTCTCCTTGAAATCTTAATGGAGTTCCAGGAAAACAACTGATACTCTTTTCTTTCTTTTGGGTGGAAACCTATCTGTGGCAAAATCAGGAAACAACCTTACTGCACGAGCAGGCTGGAATGGTCAATTTTCAACAAGGAAACGATGGTTTCTGGCTGTCACTACAGATGGCTTTTTATTAACATTCTATACGACTCTTTAAAGACTGTTACTTAATAGACTGCCTTATTTTCAAATGCCATGTCAGTCAACTTCTTAATACTACAAGCTTTCACAGCCTCTCACAGCGCACTCCCCAAACCACCAAAGGTTTGTACCACTTAAATCATCTTTTGAAATGTAAAGCTCATCCACAACATCTAGAGATTAGAAATAATGTCATTCAACACACAGAACCGAGTAACCTCCCACCCAATTCTCATCTACAGTTCCCTAATTATTTCATCCTTCTGAACCTCATGCACTTCTTGAAACTTGCTGAGAACCTGTTTTACGAAGCCAGCAAGGCACGCAGTGACAACCCGCACTTTCTCACCGGACCTTAATTCCTTCGTTCTATTCATGACAATGAGAAGCAAACAGTGAGAAATGATCTCCGCGGTTACACCTGTAACTGTTACTGCCTGACACGCTTCCATTTTTCATTTGTTCCTTTCCCTGTCCACCCACCCCCCAGGTCTCTCTTAGGCAAATACTCACAGCTTTTGCGAAGACCCCCATAAGTTCTGGGAACTGATGTGTCAGGAGGGCCAGCATGGCTGTGAAGGAGCACAATCCAGCAGTAAAGAGAATAAAGAAGGGCAGCTCCTTCTTTGGGTAAACTGAGACTTCATGGAAAGCTGTGAAGACCAAAGGGTACCATTAGGGCTGGAGTGAAACACGTCACTGGGGAATCTCAATCTGGTGCAACTGAGTCCTTGGAGCTTGGGCTGAGCCCTGCTGGGAATGCAGTGGGCAGCACCGTTGGCAAACCGCAGCCCACACGCGACACTGCTGTCGGCTATGAGTCTGCGTTTCTCATGTCCAACTTCTACTCCAGCTGGAGAAGGTGACTTTGGAGAGGGCATACATTTCAGGGCAGGAATACTAGCACAATCTACGCCTAATATACTGAATGGTTCCTTTCTCAAGAGTGAATACGAAACCACAACATTTATAAAATAGACGCTCATTGAATAAAACTTGGAAAATTCAAAATCAAGCATATTGAAAGAAATCTCACCTACATTTTCACCTTCCTGTATTTTTACAATTATTATGAGGTGACATTAGTTTATCTTGTATTTTTTCCTGGCACACTCTACTATGTCAGTGACCTGTTAGGACAGTCAGCTAGGACCTCAACGCTGGCCTATCAGCCTGCAAGGGTGAGGGCCAAGGTTGCTAGGGCTTCCTGGCACAAGTGTAAGAAATCCCTCATGGTGAGTATACATGCAGCAATCACCGGAAGGAAAAAAGGCAAAACTGGTGCTTGTTGAGAGTGTCTTTCATAATCTTAAACACTGGTCTGAGCAAACTCAAAAGCTATGGTACACAATCCAAGAGAAGTGGCTGCCCCTTCTGCTCACCACAGGACTGCTCATGACTTCTGGGGTGACGGGGGTGCTGACAGGGTGGCAGGGGTTCCTGGCACAGAGGCGGGAGAACCAACTGCCCTGAGCGAAGTGGAAGAGGCTGCGAAACCGCAGGTGAGCATTCTGCTCCTCTAGCCACCTGAGCGACCCATCTCCTCAGAAAGCACGAGAGCTGGAGGCCTTTCCGTAATCACTAAACTCCTGCTGCCCAGGGTCCTACCACGCGCTGAGGTAGAGAGGACCTGGGAGGGCCCATGTGCAGGAGAAGCCGGTCTGCCATGTCTACCAGGAAAACCAGCCTGCAGGCATTCACCACCAGGTAGACATGCGATCAGTGTGCAGCATGGTGATGTTATACTTTTAATATAAAAATATAGGAAACCTTTAAAATAACCAACCTTATTCATCTCAGTATTCAAACACAATCCCAAAAAAATTTTTGGAGAAATATCAGACTTCAACTACAACAATCAATTAAATAAATGTGAGCCATAATTTTCTATTTGAGACTTACAAAGATTATCTCTACAAAGTTCCTTTTAAGAACTGCAATCTTATTCTAATAGCTAATCCACCCTTATGGAAACTTAATTGGACTCAATTAAAACATTCAAAACATTGTACTTTTTAGGAACTGCTTTAACAGAAAATCAAAACTTTACAAGGATCTTCTTGAAGGGGGAGTCAAAAAGTAAACTTGGCCCCAAGGCAGAGGTTGCTGAAACAATCTAACGTCCTGTGAGGAACCAGATCTTCTGTACCATCACCCTTGGTCACTGAGGCACACACTGCTGAGATCTCCCAGTGGTCTGCAGAAAGAACCTCATATGGTCTGGCCAGGAAGCCAGGAGGCGGGTCCTGCTGCCACACCTGGACCACAGCGACTGAGCTCCGACCTAGCACCGCCTCAGTGAAGCCGCGAGCTTGTTACGCACACAGTGCTCCTCCATGCACGGCACTCCTGGACACCGTGGCTGTGAAATCGTGCCTTAACTGGGGGCTGGTAAAGTGGAGTGTGGCAAGAGAAAAGAGCCCAAATTTGGAGCTTATTATCTGAGGGAGAAAAATATGTTCTAAGTCAGGGCCCCACGAAGCGCCTGGACAATGATCCTTGCACACGCTGTGATTTGACAGTAACTCTTCAGGCTGAATGGTCACAACAAGAAGCCACAATAATATTTTCCACATGTGGCGGGGCCGTTAGACTGCTGCCACTAAGTGGCCCGAGGGCAGGCTCTCTGGGCCCCTACACAGTGCTGAGGCTGCACGCGTGCCCTGCACACGGTACCAGCTTGCTCGGAAAAGCCCACAAGGTGCACACGGGAAGGCCCTGGGCCAGGAGCGCCGAGTCACCACAGACAGCACACTGCCCTGCCCGGACCGCCTCGGGCAGGGACGCCGCGTCCCGGGCTGCTTGGCCACCAAGCCTCAGCTGCAGCTTCCTCTTAGGTCAGCAGTCCCTCCTCAAACTGCGCTCTGCGCAGGCCTGTGCACTGCTGGCGAGCCCCAGCAGGTCCCCTCCCCACAGCCGAGGGCCAGCACAGCGAGGACAGGCCCCGCCCTGTGGCTCTCTGCTTAGGCCAGCCAACACACAATGTCTCTGTCTTCTAAATTTCAGTCCTTTGGCATCTTCTCTTTGATGAGTGTAGAGAGGCGGAGGAGCAGGGAGCCTCACCTACTCACATAATTCATGTTAATACCTGTGCTATCAAATAAGGCCAGGGCTGGGCTAAAGCAGTACAAGCCAGAGAACACCGTAGTCCTCTGTCACTCCCGCCCTTGCCCCCCGCAGTCTTGCCATGCTTCCCACCTGCAGAAAGGGCTGCGGAGAGATGGACTTACAGGGCAGCAGTTCCCGGTCGGCTGTCTCTGTACATATGGGGTACGGGTAAAAGAGGTGCCCCTTTTCCAGGGGATACGGGATCATTCGGAAAGCTGAAAAGGACAGACAACAGATTACAGCTTTAATGGTACTTCATAATTTACCAACCTCCAAAAGTGACTTCCGAGCATTTTTCAAATAGGGAACATGCCTATAAAGAAGCAAGACTTACTCAAACTCTGAGTCATGTGCCAGATGTCTGAGATACAGCATGATACACCACTCAGACATGAATTTCCTACTATAGATTCTGAGCGAACATCCCAAGACGGGTGGGGACCGAGGTGCGGGGGGCAGGGAAGCCACAGTACGATGCCAGGATCTCATCATCTGTACAGTATTACGAACGCTAGAAGCAGTAACGCAATATAGTTCATCCAGTGTTAAAACCGTAAACCTGGGTAGAAATGTTTCCCTGAGAAGTAAAAACGTGGAGCAACTTACTGGAGCTTGTTGCACATAAACAAGTACGACAGGCATTCTATCGTGTCTATTTAGAAATATGTCTAAGAGGATTAGAATTCTAACCAAGATGTGTAAGAACAAAAATCTACACACATATGACTTGAGGGATATATTTAAACTTTATGAAACCTTTAAGTCTTCAATATCATATGGGAAAAACGGATCTAGGGAGACTGGTTATCTGCTTTGATGATGTCAGGTCCCCTACATTCTGCTTTTGTGGCATCAGATGACACTAGGGTCACAGGAATTGCGGCTTTCCAACCCATCCGTCCCGTCCCATTACCGACTGTGTGATTCACTGCTATCAGCATGCTAGTCTCTCTATGTACAGTGTTCCCAGAGGCAATTTTTCCCCACAGATGTCCTTTAACTTCAGCATGTTGCAGACACAGAGCCCAAAAGCCAAATAATGCCTACACCGGGAATGTCAGCGAACAGCCTCACTTTCAGGAGCATCAAGGAGGGACAGTGGCAGTACACAGCAGTACTTTTAAGTGCTACAATGGAAGGATCAGGAGCTACAGCCTCAGTGTGCAATTACCAAGGCCTCTGTAAAATGCCGTTGACCTACGTATTTATTTTTTATGTACTTATTTCAAACAGGAATCAGAAACAAAGTCCTCCTTCACCAGAACTGACAAGGTCCTGCTGTAACCAGCAACAGTGCACATATGGTGTTTATTCTGGTGTCTGAATATTATTTAAAAGCAAAAGCAGTACGTATGTGATTCCAGCATTTGGAATGCAGTCAACCTACTCCACAGTGGTATCACTCTGAGGTTCCAGCGCATTACCACGGACAGCATAAATCACTATAAACGCGGGATTAGAGCAGAGTCAGTGTGCTGGCAGTTTGCTGAGGTAAAAATGTTATCAATTTTCCTCTCATAACACAAGCCTCTTAAACAGAGATTAAAACATTAGAAACACTCCTGACTCTAACTCTTCTTAAAACGGAAGGCTCACTCTAGCCCAGTCAGGTCTCTTATTTCACGCGAAGGTGACTCCTGCCCCTCAGGACAAGCAAGAGAGGGCTCCTTCACAGGCTTTAGAAGAGATCACTGGCGGGAGTGCACACCTGTCCCGACAGAACCACACTGTCAAGAGAATGAACACTACAAAAAGCAGAGCAAAACAAAATGAAACCCGAAAAATAAAAAAAAAAACACCCTCCCAACAAAGACCTTTCAAAGTTATTTTGTAGTGTACACTGGGAAGCACTGGTTTTGCCTTTAAACTGTAAGATGGCTGAATTTTCCATAAATGATAGCTGCTTTGAAGCATCCAAAAATGTGGAAAAGATACATGGAATTTGGGTTTAAAAAATTCAGATTCTCCATGTGTACTCAGGCTTCTATAATTAAAAAATCCCTTCAAGTTCAAGGAATATAAATAAAACTTCAGTTTTCAAAGAGGTTATAAATTTGAATCCTAAATTTTATTCAAAACTGAAGCAGAGTTACACTTGAGAGAACAACTATTTAAATGAAATATAGGAATACAAGATCTTAAGAGTGCTCAACCACAGAAACCTAATGGTTGGTTAATATCTTTTCAGTCAAATGCTAAATGTTTCCTCCACTATTTGGCATGCATAAAGAATTTTGTGCCCCAATTTACTTTTTTATTCTTCTAATTGATTCCTGTTTTTTGAAGAAGGTAGAGACATTAATGACATTCAAGTACAAATAACATATACCTCCGGCACACTGCCCTCCTCCCCTAAGGGTGTGACGACGACGTTCAGGAGGCTCTCAAGATCTCTCTCGCGTCAGCTGGCACTTACACTGAGTTCGTAAAATACTCTTAAGGCCTCTGGCTCCACTAAACAAAAGCAAACGCGGTTTCTGCTTGCAATTCGATCCTCTGCCCACCCTGCTGTGTGGGGTCCAACGAAGTGTGAGACAAGGGGGACTGGGCTGGAGAGCGGGGGCAGAGGCCCTCTCCAGGCCCTGCCAGCTCCACCACCTGCCTCCTGGTCCCTTTCACAGAACAGACTGGTGGCTGCTCTCCACTGAGCGCCTTGGGGCCCAGCCCACGCCCCTGTACCTGCAACGTTGATTTGGTGGAGCACGTGAGAATGAAATGCAGTTATCTGAACAGATCTGTTCTATACATGATGACCAAGTTCCTACACATCTTTGAGACAAAACACATTTCAGAGAAAGTACAGACATGTACTTGATTAAAGGCAAACGTATAATCTAGGCTACTGAGTTAACACGTGGCACACAAACTACATTTCTGCATTTTCCGTTGCGGGCCACCCACTCCCCCATCGTGATTTGGTGAAGCCAAAACCACACCCTCCAAATCAAGCCTGACGTGTGATACTGTCCTTCTATCTCTCCCCAGAAGGATGTCCCAGGCTCCAAGGCTATCAGGGCTGTCTGCCTTAAAGGCATCCCACCAGGACTGGTGAGAAAACTGACAGAACCAAGAGTATGGCAAGGTTGGACACATGAACAAGCCCATGGTCTCACGCCTATCCATCACACAGACCAGGCGGAAGGTAAGTTTTGATACTTTGTTTATGTTAGCTTTTCAAAGAGGATCTCAGAGGACTGGGGACAGTGATTCGCAACAGTGAGAACTGAGCTTGACTCCCACTCTAGCTCTTGCAGTTCCTCCCTGGTCAAAATGTGAGTTCTTTCTCATGGAACAGATAGGTAGGGAGAGACCCAAAGCATACACGGCGCTGCCTGCATCCACTTACTCTTGGGGGGCATGGCCCAATAATCTTGAAAGTAAATGTAACAGTTTCTGTTGTGATAAAGTCATCAGAGGAGATAGGTGGGGGAAGACAGGATAGGCCACTAGGCAAAACGAGAATGCCAAGGGCCTCAAAACACTGGGGAAAGAGCTAAGACCAACAGAGGCCCAGGTGTCCACTGACAGTGTATGCCTGCTAAACAGTCCGGTTTCTCTCTCTCTATGAAAGGTTCTATTTCTTTCTTTCTTTTTTATTTTTGCAAGTTATATTTCTGTCAGGTCGCATTCTATTAAAAATGCTGCCTGTTTGTTAACAGTTAGAAATGCAAATGGTAAAACAGATCACTGTCGTCACAATGCGAATTTTATGATCCAGCGTTGACTGCAACGTGAGCACAGCCGTGAGGACACTTTTGCGGGACACCACGCTGCACACTAAGGAAAGCTGCCATCACAGGCGTGGCTTAGACCGCTGCAAGTGCAAGACGCTGGGCTCCGCCGGGCTGTGCTTCAGTCTTGACTTCTCCGGCTGTCCCCCTGACCTCGCTGCCTTATCTGTTTCCTGGCGCTCACTATGATCAGCCTGTGCAGAGCTGCTGCAGACTGGGCCCTGCCCTTGTCGCAAAGCTTTCGGCCTTTTACTTGGTAGTCCCAAACACGATGCCTGCTACCAAGAAGGGACTCAATAAATGTTTGGGGAAAAAGAAATGTATAAATTAATACACAATCAGGAAATTTTTTCCTTTAAAAACTTAGGTGAAGCCAAGTGTGGTGGTGTGCACCTACCTACCACTAGAGGCGGAGGCAGAGGGACCACTTGGCCTCTGGAGTTTGGGGTTGGCCTGGGTACCGTTACGGGACCCTATTTCTTAAGAAAAATAAAAACCAATCAACCAAACAAAACTTGGGTGCATCGAAATTAGGGTCTATTATGAAGACTGAAAAAATGAACTGAGGAAGGTATTCTATTGGGTAGTAGGCAGGGAAGTGTCACTATACAGTATCTGAGGCCTAGCTACAGAGGAGGTGAGTTATGACCAGGGACTTTACCTGATCCATGCTTTCTCATAAATTATGCAACGTAGCCTGGATCTGTGGAGAGGCAGGGTGGATTAGCTCTTTAGTAAGTCAAAAGGTATAGAGGAAACTTCGGAGGAAGGATTTGGTTAGAGGAAATGCCCTAAGAACCACATCTTAACAGTGAGGGGCACTGGCTATCAGGTTCAAAGAGAATAAATTAGAATCACAATCTTATCCTATGCTTCAACAATGGGCCATTTTCTCAAGACACCACCTCCACATCTTATACATTATTTAGTGGACCCTTTGGAGGAAAAAAATCTCCAAAGAGAAAACAAAGAGTCTTAGTTGGTCAAATGGAAAAAAGGAGAAACAAAGAAAGACTAAGCGATTTACCCCATGGCGCACTAGTCTTTGTGATACACAGAAGTAGAAAATTAAACGTTCATGGCTGTGCTTAGTAGACAACCCTGCTTTATAAAACAGAGCCGTAAGTGAAGCGGTATGTAACACAGGTAAAGCAGAAGATGGGCCATGTAGAGCAGGGCTCTGTCATGCGCTCCTCATTGTAAGTAAGACCCAACTGAAGCAAGACTTTTCCTTTTGTTTATGCGCGACTCATACAGTGGAGTGCATGTGTGAGGAGAACCAGAACCGGCCGTGTTTAGAATAAGCATAATTCAGATAAGGTGGCAGCTGCGGAACAATCCAAGAAACATTATACAATCTTATAAATTAAATCTTCTCCCTTTTCTTAATTACCTTGACTTTGAGGACCATAGTGTGTAATTTCAGGGGCTGGGACAGTGATGAATCAAACATTTTGGAAACCTTTGAAATGCTGATGTATTTGTGGCTGAGGATTCAGCGTTTCTCTTTCTTTTTTTTTCTTTAACTACCATATGTTTCAAACACAAACAATCTCTGCTATGCATCAGCTGGACTTTGGGGTTTTATGAAAAAAAAAATGGGAGTTTTCCAGCTTGACTGGTGGAGAACTCAGTTTCACAGGATGACTAAGGCTCTAAGAATAATAAATCCATTACAAGGGAAAAACCCGAAACGCCAAACCCCACGAAACAAAAAACAAATCCTGCAATCAAAAACAAATCAATAAAAGAAAAATAAAACCAGAAATAGACAAACAAACCACCCCACCTCTTACTTCCTAATCAATGCTTTTGATAGAACTAAGACTTAAAAAAAAAACTACAAAAGATAATCTAATAATCATTTTTAATATATAACATGGGTGAAATGAGGTACCATTAAGTTCTTCCCTGAGTTCTCTTCCTAATAACAAGGGGAAGTTGAGTGGGAGTTGGGGAATGGCTTAAATTTTAGAATGAAGAAAAGAATTTCAGAGGAGAAAATACAAATTTTGAGGCTGGCCACGTCAAAAGGCGCCACCAAGTGGTGTACTAGGGCAAGTGCAGCCTCTTGGGCTCCGGCGGGGGCTGCCCAGGCAGACAGCGCAGAGGTCCAGGGAGGCTGCGGCGGGCACCCTGAAGCTGCCAACTTGGAGTGGATGGTGGATGGCATGCAATACGATCAGCGCTTCAGGGTTTCAAAAAACCGGGCAGGTTAAGCAAATGCCAGCATAAGCTGAGTCAGAATTGCAAGTCCTCTGATTTAAGATGCGGAATCCCAAACCTCTTTCTCATTTAGAATAGACACTGATCTACAAGTAATGTCAGAAGACTGCAGCCAGTTCTCTGGAGTTGGCCTGGTAACTATTTCTTCTGAATTTCATGGTAGACCTATAACAGTGATGGCGGACAATTTAGAGCTTCCAACGGTAACAAACAGCCCGCCGCATCATGTATTACCCAAGTTCGCCATCGCTGACCTAGACAGGTTCATTTTGTTAAAAGACCAAAAGCACTTGCGATGAAAACTTATTTTTCTAAGTGTATGTGCACATCTTTACACTTTCTGGAAATAAATGGCTAGTGTAGAAAATATGACAAGCACAAATATGAAGAAAAAGTCATCCACAGCTCAGCAATAACTACTTAACACAGGCTCCTCTGCTTATACATTTGTACTATTTATTTTAAAAACATTTCGTATTCCATACTTTCACACTGAAAGGAGCCAGTACTAAAGTGCGATGTCATACGGAACGGGGCCTCCTGTCGCAGTGAGGCCAGCCTGGCCTGCGCAAACGCTGGGGCGACCGCGCTCTTCCTGGGTGCCGTGGCCTCAGGGCAGCTCGGCTGCGCTCCCGCTACGGGACCGTCGCCAGCTCCGGGGCTCGGTTTCCTACCTGGAAGAGCCGAGAGGACGCTTCGGGCCACTCTGACGGCCGCCTTGCGCCGCGGCGCTCCCGGCTTGCTCACCGCTTTCTAATGAATGCAGAGCTCTCTGCGAAAGCTCAACGGCAGCGCGGCGGCTCTAGCCTCGCAGCTCCGCCACCCGATTTTCTCAGGAACTGTTTGTCTGCGGGACAAGGCCAGGTTTTCTTCTTCTGTAGGCATTTGACTTCCTTGCCTACTGATTCATGTCTAAAAGTTCACCCCTTTTTTCTGTCCTAATAAAATATTCTGTAATCTAATCTGAGGTAATGGCTCCTCCTCAACGCCCCCAGCGTGCTGGGCTTTGTAGCTCCTGTGTCACTTCACACTTCTCTCCGCCTCGCTCTCTTCCTAGGGGACCCAGGGAATCCTCCATCACGACTGACTGCTGACTTCTGGCCAGAATTTCCCCTTATGCCCCACAGGCGACTCGACTTTCAGGGCCATGCCATCCTTGATGTGTCCCATCCTCCCTTGCTGCTACGCTTTCCGAGTCTTTCCTGCTGAATCTAAATGACAGGATCCACTGATAAGTTCTTTCACTGTATCTGAAATACCAACCTACAAATACGTTCTTTGAAAAACCAATGTGTTTATATAAACTCACAATAATTAACATTGCATGAGGTTTTCATGTTCAATCTGCTGGGATTTTTAGATTCTTTTTCATGTTTAGGTGAAAATTTCTTTCGTCCCTCTGATATCTACATACAACCGTGCAGTGAAGCCAGAGGGATCACGGCTCGCTCTGACAGGCCATCCCTTCCGTGGAGTGTGGTAGTGTCGATACAGCCATGTACAGTTGCTGCTGCTGCTGGTGTGTTATTTACACTTATGAGCCGGGCAGAAGCAGTTAAGTGTGTAAGTGAGCCCATTATTAACTCTGTAGAGAAAAATTTCAAAACAACTAAAAAAACCCTATCAATCACCTCTGGGTTCCATCTCTGTCTGCGCTCCACCCTTTGTGCTCTGTTACCTCCCTTCCTGCACCACGCTGGCTTCTTGCTGGGTTACAGAAGGGCAGGAAAAGGAAGGAGAAGATTACAAAATGAAAATGGAAGTGGAAAAGATAAACAGAATGGGAAGGATTAAAAGACACTTGCTTGTGAGACTGAACAGAGCAGGGATGAACTAGGAAAAAATAATCAGAAGATTCCAGCATTTTTAATTTTGTTTTTCCACGAGAGAAAAAAATCCTACATGTTGCATTTGTCTGGCTTACATTCATGTTAGCAGAGTTTCATTGCACACGTGGTCCCATGATCCATAATCTTGGCTTTTTCTTAGTTTACATTTTCGAGGGAGCCCACCACTTACCCGTCTTCACACAGCGCCCCTGCTTGCTCGCTCTCCCAGTTTCTCATGGGTTGGCACAAGCCTTAGCTGATGCCGAGGTTGCCCATGACTGCTCCACCCCACTAGTTCTCCCTTCTGGTAAATCCCCAGTGACCACCATATGCCGGGTTGCTCTTCCCCATGAGACAGCACAGCTCTCAGCCCCTTGAGAGCCGCGTCCCCTCCAGGAGAATGACGGCATCTGCAGGGCACACGTGCAGCCGCTGCCCGACACCCACCTGCCAGGCAGCTTTGCTGCTCACTGAACGCCAGGCCACAGTGGCCACATGCCTTTTAGACGGCCGGTGTAGCTCCAGGGCATGAGAACTATGCCTCTTGGCTGGCACTCCCAGAAAGGACATCAAGCAGCAGCAATCAGTCTAGCACAAGGCCTAATCCCACTGAGTAAGCCTGCCTTTCTGGGCACTGGAGGGGCATCCCACAGTAATGCCAACTGCTGTTGGGGGCCGCAATGTCTAAGGAATTAACTCTCTTAGTAATGGGCCTCACAGGAAACAAGAATGGACAGCAGATTCTCATTAATTCACCAAAAATACTCAGGGCAAAAAATAGTTTGTAATGCTTTTTTATGGTCTTAGGAAATATGTCAAAGAAAGAAAATTACTTACTGCCTTCCCACGTACAATGCAAAAGATTCAAAGCCCCTTCCACCCTCTTCCAGTGTGCGAGATGAAAGAAGGCATATGCTATTGCTTCGCTGTCTCCTCTCTTCAGGATATGTTCTGGGGGTAGGATTAAGCTTTTCATTTCTAGTAGGTACTGAAATAAAAATGGCAGGAGACAGATGTGTTAATACATAGGAATTTGGAATTTGATATTGAAATAAGTTGATTTCCCTAAAGCCATCATTTATAAGCATTTCATAAAATCTAAAACCTCATTACTATATTTGAAGGCTATTACTAAAATGTTCAGCAATTCCAAGTTTGCTGACAGATGCTTAGCCTTGTGCAAGCTTCCCACAGTGAGGCTGAGAGGCCCGCAGGCCAAGAAACCCTAATCAAAGAAATTAATATGGACTCCAACAGAATAGAGAAAAATATAGAAGACACAATAATTCAACCTAATTTTATAACCAAAATGAAAATATGTAAAGTGGAACCTGAAGGTCTAGAAGTTACACGACCGAGCCAAATGCACAAGGATTTCAGATGGGTCAGCACTGCCCACCCTTTTCTTCTCTAGAGATTGAGGAACAGGACCTCAGCCTCTGCCAAGAGCCACACAGAGTGGCTCCAACGCAAGTGGGAGGAAGGGTGACAGCCCGAGCACAAGACACTCAAGGAGGGGACAATGCAGAGCCTACACTGCAATGTTCCTTCAGACCCTTTCCAAAGTCTTGTCAGTTTATACCTCTTGATTCTACAAAGGAGAGAAGAGTATGGGGCAAGAGCAGGTATGCATGCGTAGTCTTCTTGGGGCCTGAGGGAGATTAAGTCTTCATTTTATTATTTTACATTTACTATTGAAGTGGAAGCAAATTTAGAAAGGCGTTTTTATATTTGCAAATATTGACCACTCACTGCAGACAGCGGCTGCCCGGTGTGTGATTCCTCACTACTCCCTGTCTCTGATCCAACTCCAATACACAGTGCACACACACATCTCCACAACAACCCCACCATGGGCAACCAGCACCAGGCCCAAGTGACTCCCTCATGACAAGCCGGGCAGACTAAGAAGGATGTGCTGTTCACATGTAACAAAAAGTCAACAAGAGGAAGTGCTAAAAGACATTTAAACATTTTACTGCCAGAAACAACCATGGATTGTTTGGACAGTGGAAATTCATGGAGGAGGGTGATACACAGGTAGGGAATATTACACAACCATGTCTCCTCCTCCAGCTGAGGAGGCACACCCCACGGGCATCACCCAGCTGCCTTAAGCCCCCTCTCTCGGGAGCACGTTTGGGGGCAGGGTAAGCAGCCCAGCAGGAGCTTCTTGGCTCAGTAGTGGCAACTTCTCCAAATCTGGGTCTGATATCACAAGAAACAGCCAAGCCTCTGGTGTCGAAACAGGAGACAGAGGAAAGCAGGAGAGACACACCCAAAAAGCAGCAAGAGTGAGACCACTGGGAGAAGCTGGGACAGAAAGCCCTCTTGGATAGGAAGCTCTTAATAGAAGGCTGTTGACGCTTACATCTGGATGTCCCCCTCATCTCACCGCAACCCCGTGAGCTCACAGACGGGGCTCTGGGGAGGGGACTGCCCAGGGAGGTGGGCTACTCACCAGTGGGGTAGTCCGCTGTGGCACTTCCGCTAAGTGGGCTGCTCAGAGATGGAGCCTGGCTGGAGGAGGTGGTCAAGGGGGTCGCAAGCTAGAAGGGCATGTGGCCTCCCCCAGTCCTCCCTCATGGTCTCTGTTACCCCATGAGGCCTGATGGGGGCTAGCAGACCATGGGCTGAAACACGAGCTGAAGTACGCCTGGCCTTTAAACTGCAAGTATCAGGTATTGCAGCTCAGTGAAAAAGAAGTGACCAAGACAATAGACAACAGGCACTGATTATTTTGATGATGACCCTTTAAGTTTGAGGTCCAAAAGAATTTGTTGGTTACTTGGCTTGTTTGATCCTACAAGCTATTCCTTTCCTCCTACCTCTTGTATTAAAATATGCAGGATAAAAATCTTTTGGGAGGGCCAGGGAGATAGCTTGGTGGTTGAAGTGCCTGCCTGGCAAGCGTAAGGACCCAGGTTCGACCCCTGGTTCCACATGCTGTGCTGGCCCCAAACCATGCCGCCACCAAGTGCAGGTGTGCCAAAAATGCAAACAACTACTCATGCTTCCCTGTGGTGCATGCGCTCTAAGCCCGGGCTGCGTAATGAGACCCTGTACCAAATAAATAAATAAAAGGTTAAAGAACATTAAAAGATATCTTTTGGGAAGTGTAATGACAAATGATTACCTAGCACCTAACCAGCAGAATATTGATAATGAATATCAACCACATTATAAATGCAAAGGTAGATTTTGCATTCAGAGATATGTGCCTAATCATGTTTTACCCTGGAGAAGCCTTTATAATGTCTGCTGGTACTGCCAGTGAGGGTCTTAGCATCCTCAGTCATGAGAAAGATATATTATATATCTTATAAAATCTTATTAACTGTATTATTTCAGAGTAAGAGAAGACAGACCATTTGATTTTCCCAAATAATCATCTGTAAAACAAGGAGTAAAAATTTTCGAGTCCCAGAACAAGATAATCTGAGTTTCTAATCACTGATCATAGCCACCCTATCACATAATAAGGATCATGCTGTACACATCCGGAAACACGCCAAAAATGCGAACAACTACCTCATGCTTCCCAGGCGCACTGAAATCTCGTTAAGGCCTAAGAATCGGATGATATTGAGAAAGGCTTATAAACTGCTATTCTTTTTATTTCTGTGAATATGGAAGGCTTTCAAAATTGTCTGCCTGGGCCATGCGTCCTGATATGTTGACTGAGCTGTATTAAGAAACCACTGGCAGGCTAGAGCACGCTCCTTGGGGGGTCCAGTGGTCATGGCGACATGGCCTGGGGTATGCCAGCAGTCCCCCACCAGCCCTTTCTGGCACTGTTCTCTCTTCTGCCCCTTCTCCACCAAGACCAAGCAGCTTTGCTCTGCCACATGCTTTCTGCCCTGACATTCCTGCCTTCAGTCAGCTACCTCTGAATTCTCCCCAAACCATGAGTGAAATGAAACCCTTCTCCTTGAAGGTGTGAGCGTCAGGTACTGCGCTGGGCAATGGGGAAGCTGACTAGTACATTCAGTAAGCATCTTCTCTTGGCCTAAAGGCCTGGAGGAATAGGGGCAACAGAAGAAGGGGGCCTAGGAGCAGGCAAGGCAGACAGCTTGGTGGAGGGTGCTGGAAAACCGTGATACAACGGTGCTATGGTCATGCACTGTCCCTATTCTGTATGGTGGGCTTCACCACAGAGGTACTTAAATTTAAATTAAAATCAAATAGAACAAAAATGTTAGTTCTCGCATCCCACTTGCCCTCCAGACTTCAAGCCCTTGAGTGCTGTGTGGCTGCTGGTACCGGATAAAGTGCAGGCCATCTCTATCAGGACAGAGCGCTCTTTTGGACTGTACTGCCATGGACAGTGGTTTTTGAACTTCAAGTAACTGCTCCATTATTATTATTCAACCAGGAATTGAACTTACTACCTTGTGCTGGCCAGGTCAGGTGCTTGTGCCATTGAGCTATATCCCTGGCTTGGACCAATTTATAACATGAAAAAAATCTCACAGATTCTATGACAGGAGTCATTAGTACAGTATCTACCAACTGAAAGTACACAGTATGGCAAAAACTACAATCAATGAAAGCACTGCTTTTATCTATAGCCAGGGCATCAATACCTTGCTGAGAGCCAGCAGCACACGTGGTAGCTGAAACACACGGCTTGGTCATCCTGCAGGCTGAATGCGATGCCCCTGGCTTCCAAGTTGTCGTCCTCAGCCCCAAATGCAGACTGTGAGGCGATTCTGGGCCTCTCCTCTGAGCTCTCTGATCTTTGTGTACATAAGCTTTTCCCACCCTGCCTTATAATGTACTTACCTATACCTTGCTCAGCTAACTCAAGAGCATGAACCTGTCATCTGCACCTTAATCTTTCCTACTATCCTCGCTACACAACAGTACTTCGTACAAGGTAACATGTGGTATACATAGTACATGTGTATTAATTAAATTGAGATCTTTTTTCTCAAGTGCACTCTCAAAATTAGAAAGCCCAGCCTAGTTGGCCTCATGAGACCAACCAAGGCAGCCCACCAGGGATACTTAGCTCTGCCTTCTCGTCGTATCTATCTTTTGGCCGGAATCGGCTATGCCCATAAAGGAGATTTATACTCCTTCATAGTTCCAAACAGAATGTTGGCTCTAAGCAAATGACGAAGGCTAATAACAACAATGCGCTATGTTTCTGGCCAAGCTTAAAATGGTTGGCAGGATCACTTCTCAACATGTGCAGCATTTAAATTAGAAAGGCATGGAACAACATTTCACATCCTACTTGTCAAGAGAAAAATAAATGGGAGAGGGCAGATCCCTATCCACAAGCATTCAGAAATCAGTTAGAGTAGCCGCAGCTCACAAGTCACAGACCACGCTCTGCCAGGTGCGCTAGCAGCCTGCGGCCATGAGCTAGCCAGCGCTCTGTGCGGGCCTGCGTGCGCCCGCCCCGAGCCTCCTTCCCAGACTCTCCATCACGCTGACTGCAGTACAGTCCTTCTACAGATCTCAGAAGCAACTTTTCAACATCTATTTACATTGAATCTAGTTCCTCATGCACAAAACAAGAGCATCTAAGCCAGGACATACAAAGAAGAGCTGTCGGAGGACAGGGTCTTCGCAGGCAAGCAGTGTCTACTCTTGCAGTACCGTGGCTTACCTGTGAGGGGAAGTTACAGAAGAGACTGGCCCATCACAGGCTACTCCGGGACACTGCTAGGTCTTTTCTGTTAACGTTTTACAATTCTATAATAACTTAGCTGAGTGTGGGGCACATGCCCATGGTCTCTGAGCTCCGGAAGGTTAAGGCAGGAAGACTGCAACTTCAAGCCCAGTCTTGGCAGCGTACTCAGAGAGACCTTGTCTCAGAATAAAAGAAAATTAAAAAGGACTAGGGATGTAGCTTAGTACAAATACTGTGAGTCCAATCCCCAAGACCATACACCCCTACAATAATTTGAGTGAAAATCACTCAAAGGTATCCTTCTCATAGATATTAATACCCAAGTATTAATTCATAGCCTTTTC